GTTCATTAATTAGCGTTTCACTCATCTAATAACTCCATTTCTTCACGCTTTGATTGCAGCGGCCCACTCAGTTATTGGAGCCTGGCTATACGCTTCTGGCTGCATGTTCGTTGAGTGACACGGCACATTTGTATTGTCAGGTTTATCGCAGTCATGGCAACGAGTTTTTGTTTCCTAAATCCAATTTACGATATTCAACTTCAAGTTAATCTTTTCTCAGAGCAAAGAGCTTGGCACTCACACTGGTAACGAATGCATCTCAGAGAGCGTCTGACAAAAATAGGGTGTGAACTTCGACTGTGCCTTGTGAGAGGAAAAGCATTTCTGATTGTTGTAGTTTTTGTCATACTGATGATTTTTAGTCACACCATTGTCATTCAGAGTCGATTCTATAGTCGGGCACTCCGTTTAAGATCCAGATGCCACACCTACTGGACGAACTCTGTTTGTTCTTATGTTTGTTAGTTTATTGTCTTTTTTGTTTTGTTGTTGTTTGTTAGGTTGCTGTTTGTCGTTTACTTCGGTCAATGAATATAAAAGAGGCACGGTAATAAACGAGTATTAGAAAATATCAGAATCACAGAAACGTAAGTAGAGCTGCAGAACAGATAGACGCCCTCTCACACAAAGCATGGCGGAAATTATCGAAATCGTTGGATAGCAACAACAAACCTAATTACAACAACGAGCTGCATTAGGGAACAAGAAGTAGTCATGTTGGAAGATAAAGAAGCATGTTATGTTGCTATGTTCATCATTTCACTAATAGAATTTGCGATTGCCTTCATACTGATCACGTCAACTTTACTTGTCATTCTCTCTCATCCACGGTTTCGTAAACAACACCATATATTTCCGTTCAATCTCGCGCTCGCAGATTTAGCAGGAGTAATTGTGTACGCAGGCTTCAATACAGTTACATTCAAGAAAGAGGTATGTTTTATTTTCTTTTACATTTTTAGATATTAATGGGAGAATTTTTTTATGTTCGTATGTTTGTCCTATGTGGCAAACTAAACATCGTACAATTATTTATCAGTTATCGTGGTGTGATGACCTGTATCCAGCAGACAAGCTTACTGACGATAATATGCTGAAATGTCTACAATATTAACAACACAGAACGTATAAAAGTATTTTGACGAACTTGTGTGCTTCTCTTCGAAGACATTGTATACATCTATTTCACTTATAATTCAAATTAATGCCAGTGACAAGAATGTTATGCCTGTGTAATTCTTAACATTGGGATCAATATCAAAATCATTCATAACTTCCCACTTTGCCTTTACAGTTCTTATTGTAACTGTTGTCGATCACGAGAACCCAATAAATTCAGTCAGACACAGGCTTTTACGGGAGTTGTCAATCTTTATTTTACGTCTCCGTATCCATCCATGTAACTCCGTGAAAACTGTATGACAAAGACAAAATTGCAAGCATAATAAGTAAATATGCAAATGAATCTAACCACAACTGCAATGCTTCAATACGTTACCAAATAAGGAAATGAGCATTTATATCGATTACAGTTTCGATCGATTACAGAATCATCTACGCAAAATAATCTTGGCTATAAACCCTTGCCAATCGTTATAATCATTAGGTCATACAATTCATAAGGCTTCTATGGCTCCTTGTAACTTGACAGCTTAACTAAATTGAATCAACTCCAATAACGAAAGAATAATGACTTTTTATTGCCCCACATATGCCTTTCTATGTAAGTAGAAAGTGTAGATCCTTCCAGACCTTCCTTGTAAACTTCATTTATCTTTGTCCTAAATTACCCTAATACTAGTACTTTCATAACTATGATAAATGAAACCTGTCTCATACAGTCATAAGTCATATATATATATATATCAGTCATTACTCTTTACCTTATCCAATATTTCATAAATGGTTTTACCGTTCTACGTAAATTCCTACACAGTCGCACATTACACGTGTACATGAACGTATCGCTACATACAACCAGACTTGGCTTTATATCCAAATTAATCTTCATAATCCTTTACATTACAGCACTTAATTGCAAGCAAACATCATATATATAAATATACTGACCTCTGTGCCCTTTTGTGAACTGAATATCCCTCAGAATACGATTTTTGACAAATCAAAACATTCGGTAACAAACAAACTCAGCTTGCTCCATCGAACCAAAAATCAGCTGCCACTAGAGGGCGACAAATTTCTGAGCAAGTCAACGTCATACACTTATCTATACCTGGTTATTGTTTTTATGACTAAATACCGTGTTCATGAGCTTTGTATAGCTTGACGACTACTTTCCATTTAGATCTCCTTGGAGTTTATGATAATACCCAAGTCACACACACATATGCACACACACATACGCATTTCCAACAAACCAATAACCGACAAAGTCGTAGTCACTCAGGGTGACGTCATTTTGTGTTCGGTTCATTGTCGGTCTTGGATCCGTCTCGCCGTTGCGACTAGAAGGTAAAACAAACTATTTCAATTGTTTTTATTATACAATCAATATAACATTGTTTTGTTGACGGTGGGGATGTGACAAAGTATCAAGCTCATTTACTGAATATCTACCTGGCTACCTGGCTGCCGCCGTCAGTTGCTGGCGATTGGCGACCACATCTGCACATCTTCTTGTTGTCGTTCTCCATTTGTTTCTATCCTGTGCTAATCTTTTGGCTTCTGAATATGTGAGACCTGTCCATTCTTTGATGTTATCGAACTACTGCTTTCTCTGTCTGCCTATTTATTCTTTTTTGCTTCTACTTGGCCTTCTATTATTTGTGCTGCAAAGGGACTCCCACTGCCACGCAGAATGTGTCCAAAGTAACCCATCTTGCGGCAGGCAATTTTTCCAAGGATATGTCTTTCTTCTGTGTTTAGTTCCTGTAGAATACTGAGGTTAGTCCTTCCAGCTGATCTTTAACATTTTCCTCCAGAACCACATTTCTGCTGCCATGATGCGGTTTTCATCGGCTTTGAGCAGTGTCCAGCTTTCAGCACCATAAAGCAAAGCACTCCAAACAAAGGTTTTGACCGGTTTTATTTTCAGACCTGTTGGGATGTTCCTGTCATTCCAAAGTACATGCAGGTCAACCATTCTCTTCTTTGCTATGGCTTTTCTTATCTTTATGTCTCTGGTACAGCTGGCATCGCCGTTCTTTGTAGATCCAAGATATTTGAAGCTTTCCACATCTTTGACTGTTTCCCCGTCGATCTGGATGTTACAATCGGTATCTGAGGTTTTACCAGCAACTAGGAGTTTAGTCTTTTTAACATTTAAATGAAAGTTGAGTTTCTTGCCGGCATCGTTTACTGCATGTGTGAGACTTCAATTCCGTCTTTGGAAGATTCGATTAGTGCTGTGTCGTCAGCATATCTGAGATTTGAGATGTTTTTGCCACCAAATTTAATGCCATAGTGTGCGACATCTGCTTCCCTCATTCCACTTTTTGTGTATGTGACGAAGAGGTATGGTGATGAGATACAGTCCCGTCTTGCACCTTTTCCTATCTCAAACTATTCAGTATATTTACCATCCCAACGGATTCTAGCTCTTTGGTTTACATAGAGAGTCAGATTGGATTAATGTGACGAGGTGTTTTGGGAAGCCCATATCTAAGAAGATGGAGAAAAGTTTAATGTGGCTCATAGAATCAAACGCCTTTATGTAGTCGATGAACATAATAAAAGCTTGTTGATCCATGGCAATCACCTTCTCAAGTAAAACTTGCAAACATACAAGCATGTCTCTTATCCCTCTACCTTTTCTGTAGCTCTAGTTGCTCTAACTTTTGTTTCATTCTGTTAACAATTATCACGAGTAAGATTTTGCTGGTATGACTGATAAGGGCAATAGTCCTGTAGTTTGAGCACAGTTTTTGATCCCCAGATTTAAACAGGACAACAAATTCCTGTATCTTCCATTCATCTGGCCAATGGCAAGAAGTCCAAATGCTCGCACATAATTTGTGGAGAAATTTGATACCATATGGTCCTGTAGCTTTCACCAGTTCGGCTGGTTTTCCATCAATTCCTGGTGAATTCCCTGCTCTGAGCTTCTTCACTGCATGTTTAACTTCTGAAAGAAGTGGCATTGGTTCTTGATCCATTTTAGGGACCTGCTCTTCTGTTTGTGGACACTCATCAATTGGTCTTTTGAAAAGCTCAGTTCCATATTCTTTTCAGCGGTCCATTATGTTTTTCCTCTGATCTAAAATGATGCCGTTCTTGTCTTTTATACATGATTGTTGCGCTTCTCTGGGTTTGGTCTTGACATATTTGATAGCTGAGTATATTTCTTTTGCTTTGCCAGCTATGTTGAAATCGTTCACTTCCCGACATCTTTCTTCCAACCAATATGCTTCATCCTTCCTTATGTTTCTTTGGATTTCTGATCTTAGATTCTTGTACCTTTCTTCCTTGGCTTTTGTACCTTTATCCCGTCTTAATTCTACCCATATAGTTTCCGATGGAGATTCTTTGTTAGTTTCTATTTCAGAGAGATTCTTCTTGAATTTGGTTTCTGATGAGTTGAAGAAAGACTGTAGAGTTTTGGGGTCTTCAAGTGATTTGACATTCAGTCTCCTTGATTTTGATACCTTGCTGACTTTAGACAGTTTGATTTGCATCTTTGCGACTAACAGTATAAATAAAAAAAAACAAAAACAATAGTGGGTTCTTGTATAGCGCTCATCTCAGTCAGATTTGACCCTCCTGGCGCTCCAGATTATTACCCTGGTCCGTATCACAGTCTGCTCCTGGGAAAGCTTTGGCATCTTTGATGCTTGACTTCCATCTGCGCCTGATCAAGATGTAATCAATTTGGTTCCTATACCTGTCCCCAGGGGATTTCCAAGTGACTAAGATTCCTCTTGTGGTGGTCAAACGTTGTGTTTGTTAAAATAAGGTTATTGACATAACAGAATTTTGCTAATTTATCTCCACTCTCATTTCTGTTGCCAAGGCCAAATTTGCCCACTCCACACCTGATGTCTTCACCTTTTCCAAACCTTAGCATTGAAGTCTCCCATGATTACTAGTGTGTCACCATTGTTAACTTTATCCACAGTTGTGTGTAGTAGTCCATAAAACTGTTCTATAGTGTTCATGTCATGTGTTGATGTGGGAGTATAGACCTGGATGATGGTGAGGTGTTTTGATTTTGCTATCAATCTAACCATCACAATTCTCTCTGATACTGGAGTGTATGCATCAAGTGCATTTCTGGCTTCATTTGTGAGTAAGATGGCTACACCACTTTCACTTTTGCCGCTATCCTTTCCTGAGAAGACAATAGTGGTGTCTCTGTCTGGTTTGAGTACTCCTTCCCCTTTCCATCTGGTTTCGCTTAGTTCAACTATGTTCAATTTCATATTCTTTAGTTCCTTTATCAGGAGTTCCAGCTTTCCTAACTGGTTCATTGTTCTCACATTCCAGGTGCCTAAACGTAGCATTTGCTTCTTCTTGCATAGGTTAACAGCAGACGGGAATGACGTCCTGCCATCAGATGATATCCTTTCCGAGGCGGAGTTTGGGGAACCACCGTCATGGGCATATCTTGCCGCTGTCTCCTCCTCTTCCCCAGTAGCATTACGGGTGGGCACCCTAGGGGTCTCAACTTCCACCTGAAAAGGCTCGATTTTCTTATTCAGTTGTGCATCATGTGGTATTCTCGGGAAAATTTACGACAGTGGGTTCCCGTTACCTTCTGCCTCACCCTGGTCTGTTCGTCCTAATTGAAGTCAATGGGTTAACAACCCCCACCCCGAGAAGGTAGACCAGGACGCCTGCCTGTATCTCACAAGTCGGTTGACCCCTCACTTATCATGCTGTTCCTACATGCATAAAGCTACCAGGGCCAGTCTCCTCCTTGTATGGTCCATCACCATCAACAGTGATAAGAGACACAGGCTTATAGGGGGTTATGAAGATCTAAATAAAAGCTAACCGAAAACTTGCTCATTTAATTTTTTTTTTTAATTTTTTTTTTTTACTGATTGTAGAAAATATCTTTCCCCGAAATGTATTTTTTTATGTGTTTTTTCAGACAGTATCCGAAGACACGTATTAGTTTTAAATGTTTTATTTTATATATAATATAGGAGATAGAATCGTCAACTTGGGTGCTGCTTGTAGTACTCTTCACGTCTCTACTCGTGTCCACTTTGAGCATCTTACAGGTAGCTATCTATCAGCTCATCACCATCACGATTGACCCTTTCGGCGTGAAGAACATCATCACTACCACTCGATGTGTCATCACCTGTATCGTAACATGGGTCATTTCAGGAGGGTTCGTAGTCACTATAGGTGTCGCCCAAATAGGTCAGCATAACATTTTTGTAATGTTGTGCCTATTTACGATCTCCCTAGCAACAACATCGATTTGTTACATCTGCATCTATCGCTCTGTTGCTAAGGTAGAATCCAACGGTAACGGCCAGCTGGAAGAGCGCAAGAAGGAAAACCAACGTGTCCTGCGGACATTCTGCATAATATTAGGGACTACTGTCTTCTTTATGCTGTACCCCATAGGTTATGAGTTTTACAAGGGAAATGCAAGTGGTTATATCGAAACCTGCCTTGATTATGCCCAAGACATGATGATAATTACCAATTACATAGCTAATATCGTCATTTACTGGTGGAGGCTCAGGGAGTTTCGATCCTTGATATCTACTTGCACAAAGCTTTGTAACACCGTTAATCCACAGGTCGTTGGGTTCTGAACAATGGCGTACCTAAAGAGGGGGCAGGCTAGGTGCCATGTCAGGGGCGACACCTGAAGAAGTGCGACCCCACCCCCCCCCTTTAAAAGAGAAGAGGCGCACATATGCAAAAGACGAAAAGCAAAACGAGAAAAAGAAAAGAAGAAAAATAGAGGGTGTTTTTTAGGATTTGAATTTTGAAATTATGCGAAACTTTAAAAGCTCGACCGCTCTCACATACGTTGCTCTAGGATCTTGTATATTTTGATATAATGATAATAACAATAATAATAATAATATATATATTTTTTTAAATGCAACGAGAGTTTGAAAAGTGCTTGATTATCCTGTTAGAAGACAGCGCGTTGATACCATTAGCGCGCATTAAATGCATACCAGTCATCTTAAAGCCACTTTAAAGTGATGGGAGTTCCAAAGTCTCCAAAAATTTGATGGCAAAATTTTACTTAAATTGTATCGTAATGTGAAAGCGGATGTCATTTAAGATACACTTCTGCAAAGATTCCACTCCCCACAAAAAATGTATTTGAAGACATTTAAGAAAAGAATACATAATTTGCGTTTTCTGTTGTACGCAGAAATCCTAATTTTTGTATTCTTTCATCAATATTCGACTTCAAACACATTTGTTTCGAAAAGTTTTGCAGAAAAGTGTCTTAATAAATGACATCCTCTTTCACATTAAGATACATTTTAAGTGAGATTTTGCCCATCATTTTTTTTTTGGCGAATTTTGAGCTCCCAACACTTATGAGGGGCTACAATAATTTGTTGCAAGCTCTCAAACTGAATTAATTTCTTGTTACCAAAAAAAAAAGGGGGGGGGGGGTAAGGCATTGAAACATCAAAGTAAAGGACACTTCAAGAATGGAGATCATAAAAGCAATTTTTAGTGTTTGTTGCCTAAAATTCTGCAAAGAGATGTTTTTTTGAAGAATTTCTAAGTAACACAGTTCTTGTCTCCTTTTAAAAATAAAATGGTTGGATGTTTCCAATATTACACTGCTCGTGTCGGATTGATTACAAAGATATGAATGAGTAAAAGATGTAAGTCATCAGTTAAATAAAAAGCATCTTGGAATATTTATAATGTTGGTTTTATCTCTTTCTACATCTCATCAAGACAAATTGATAACAAATTCATTATTAAGATTACTTGTTTGCATATAATCAATTGATTATTCTACTACAACATTATAACGATTTGTGTATAGTGAGATGCAATTGCTTATATGCATGTACATGAACATTGTATTATGAAACTTAATTGAGATTGTATATACATCAATATTTTGTTTTACAAATCAAGAGTGAAAAATAATTATTGTCTTATTGTGATCAACGTAAATTCATATTGTATTGACACTTAGTATGTGATACAAGTGCAACATATGGCAAATTACATTGTAAAAATTGTAAAGGGGAATATCAATCAATTTATTTTGAAATAAAGTTGAGTGTCCGTGTTCAGAAGAGTAGTTTTGTGATTGTAATTATGCTTACGTTAAATAACATCGCATCATGAGATTAAGATCAGACTGGAGCATGATTTCTCGTAGGGGAGCAAGGGGACACACCGTCCTATGCACCTAAGTCAAGTAAGTCAAGCTTATTATCTAAACAAAACAGATACATTATCAATTTTTTTTAAATTAACGGATAACAAAATCTAAAATTGCAGTGTGACATAGCCAATTGAGTGCAAATATCGAAATGAATGTCTTCATGATTTAGAAAAGGTAGGTGTTTCTTTCTATTAAATCATCATTCAACAGTGAATTATTCGTCTCTTATTTTAAAAAGGCACTTCATTATCTTTTGCATGTACTTGTTCCTCATTTCATCTATATCTATAAACGTGATGTATTTATTTCTTGTAATTATGTATTTTCTTGAATATTACTGTAACGCCAGTTGAAACCAAATTTCTATGTGACTTGATTGAAAAGACCGAATAAAAATATTTTGTATCTTGTATCTTGTATCTTGTTTTTTACGGCGAAATCTGCTTTTGCGAGATATTCGGCTAGCCTCAGATAAATGTGTTAAAACTTTGATTAAAAACAAACTTAACCTTTGAAACTTGGGTTAATATGTAAAATGTTATTTGTCTAATAAATGATGTGTATTAAAGTAAAAGCATTTCTTATTGGCTTTTGAATACTGAAGTTGCGAATTCGTTGTAATGTCTAATAATGATTATAATAATGGCCCAGGGATAGTGGTTGCCAAGCAGTCAAACAGAAACAAACTAACAAACAAGTACAATAACAACAACAAATACTGTCAAAAAATAAAAATAAAAACAAGAACAAACAACAACAACGAGAAACGCAGCACAACAATGAATATTTCCAATACAATTCATAAGTATTGCGTTTTTTACCTGTCACCTTTTCGAAAATAATTTTTTTTTGGCTGATCTTGTTATTATAGATTTCTGTGGATGTGTTTTTGTTGTTGCATAGATTATTCATTCGTGCCTGCGCGGCAAATCACATAATTAATACTTTTACTTTTTACCTAATGATACGTATTATTATTATTATTATCTGATGCCGTCTTCAAAGCTTTGTTGGAGACGTACTTGTTTTCAGAAGCCTTGGAATATTTAATGATTGTGTGTCCATAAAGTAGCACTGTTTGGAGATTTTTTTTTCCATCAAAGCGCAGTAGAAGATATACTTGCGCTGTTTATATTGATTTATTTTGTGTTTGTTATTATTATCATTATTATTATAATTTTATTTAATCATAAAAAGGCCAGAGTTAATATTTATTGTTAGTTTCAAGTTAGCTTCAGGCTTATTCCACCCATTAAAACAGAAACGACAATACGGGTAATAATAAACACCCGAACACACATAAACACACACACACCCACACACACGCACACACACGCACCAACCCTCACGCACACACCAATATACACATTTACATAAAGGAATGAAAATAATATTAAATTCAGAGGAAAGGAGGCAGCAGAATCCATAGGCATGTCGACGGCTATAGTTTTAAGATAAAGTTAAAATTATCATTTAAAAAAGTAAAAAATTAAAACAATCAGAACAATCATAAATAATTAAGGATATTACAAATCCCACAAACAGGGTAATTTAAATTTGAAGTACATCTATATGGTTTACAAAATAATAATAGATGAATCAATGGTTGTCCTCGTATCAAATTAATGATAATGAACATTAACTTTGTCTTCTTTGTCACACTTGTTATTTATCAATTTTCGTCAAAAAGTCAAGAAAAGTCAAGTAAAAAGTAGGGGTGGCACATGCAAAGGAAAAAGAAGAGAAACAAAAAAGGGAGAAAATGAAATGAGGAGCCCGAAGAGAAGATGAAATGTGTCCTCTTACACATCCGTCTCAAAGTGGATAGGTTAATTTACGTTCCACTCATCTAATAACTCCATTTCTTCATGATTTGATTGCAGAGGCCCACTCCGTTATTGGAGCCTGGCTATACGCCACTGTTTGCATGCGTTCATTGAGTGACACGGCACATTGTCGGGTTTATCGCAGTCATGACAACGAGTTGTTGTCTCCTAAATCCAATTTACGATATTCAACAAGTTAATATTCTCTCAGAGAATAGAGCAAGGCATCACCCTCGAAACGAATGCATCTCAGAGAGCATCTGACAAAAATAGGTTGTGACTTCGACTGTGCTTTGTTAGAGGGAAAGCATTTCTGAATGTTGTAGATTTGTGATAGTGATGATTTTTAGTCATACACATCGTCATTTAGAGTCGATTCTATAGTCGGGCACTTCGTTTAAGGATTCAGATGCCACACCTTCTGGACGAACTCTGTTTGTTCTTTTGTTTGTTATTTTATTGCCCTTTTGTTTTGTTTTTGTTTGTTAGGTTGCTGTTTGTCGTTTACTTCGGTCAATGAATATAAAAGAGGCACGGTAATAAACGAGTATCAGAAAATATCAGAATCATAGAAACGTAAGTAGAGCTGCAGAACAGAGAGCAAGACGCCCTCTCACACGAAGCCTGGCGGAAATTATCGAAATCGGTGGATAGCGCCAATAAACCTAACAAAAACAACAAGAACAAGAACAAGAACAACGAGCTGCATAAGGGAACAAGAAGTAGTCATGTTGGAAGATAAAGAAGTATGTTTTGTTGTAATGTCGATGATCACATTAATAGAACTTGCGATTGGCTTCATACTGATCACGTCAACCTTGCTTGTCATTCTCTCTCATCCACGGTTTCGGAAACGACACCATATATTTCCGTTCAACCTCGCTCTCGCTGATTTAGCAGGAGTAATTGTGTTCGCAGTCTTCGAGACAGTTAAATTCAAGAACGAGGTATGTTTGAATTTTTTAATAAAAAAAAAAAAAAAAAATTGGAGTAGTTTTGATGTTCGTATGTTTTTCTTATGTGACAAACAAAAAAAATCGTACAATTTTTTGTATCTGTTATCGTGGTGTGATGACCTGTATCTAACAGACAATCTTACCGAAGAAAATTGCACAAATGTCTACAATAAGAATATAACACAGAACGTATATATACAAGGAGTATAGAAGTATTTTGAGAAACAAGTCACACACACATACACATATCAAATCAACCGATAACCGACAAAGTCGCGGCCACTCAGGGTGACGTCATTTTGTGTTCGGTCCATTGTCGGTCTTGGGTCGGCCTTGCCGTTTTGACTAAAGGTAAAACAAACTACATAGATTGTTTTTGTTATACAATCAGTACACAATGGTTTTGTTGACGATGGGGATATGAAAATTATTAAGCTCAGTAAAAAAAAGATGTAAACAAAAGCTAGCCGAAAACTTGCTCATTTACTGATTCTACAAAATATCTTTCCCCAAATGTATTTGTACGTGTTTTTCAGACAATATCCGATGACACGTATTTTTTAATGTTCTATTTTATGTATATAGGAGCGTAAAGACTTATATAAAGTCGAGGGAGTGGCTGTAATACTCTTTACTTCTTTACTCGTGTCCAACTTGAGTATCTTACTGGTCGCTATTTATCAGCTCATCACCATCACGATTGACCCTTTCGGCGTGAAGAACATCATCACTACCACTAGATGTGTCATCACCTGTATCTTAACATGGTTCGTTTCGGGAGGGTTCGTAATCACTATCAGCATATTTAGTTATCAGGGTTTCAATATTTTAATTACGGGTCTCATTGCGATCTCCCTAGCAACAACATCTATCTGTTACATCTTCATATATCGCTCCATTGCTAAGGTAGAATCCAACGGTAACGGCCAGCTGGAAGAGCGCAAGAAGGAAAACCAACGTGTCCTGCGGACATTCTGCATAATATTAGGGACTACTGTCTTTTTTATTCTGTACCCCATAGGTTATGGGTGTTAC